AATGACATTTTTCCACCAGACCACTTATGCTCAACTATACCTCCAGGACAACTTCCTGGCCAAAAATATTCAAAACAAACAAACACAATAGCAATTCTACTCCAATTACATTGTTTGCAAACCAGCTCGTGTTCATAGAGTACTAGGTCTGGCAAATCCAAGCACTTCAGCCCTGGGTTTTAATATTGGATGTACGTGAATTACTTGTAGCTGTTTTGCTATTCAGGCATCTTCTCTTCCCCTCTGGCAGAGGAGGGGTGTCCTGACCTGAGGACTGAAGTCCGGTGGGTGGAGTGTGCAGAAAGCCATTGCTCTGATGTAGGCATGTCAATGCATCACCTGTGAGTCTGTAGGTCCTAACTTTCCCCACATCTCCCCCCATTCCTGTGAGAAAGCACTTTTTAGCCTTCCTTTTCTGTGGCCATCGGAATTCAAGCTAAGTTGCCTTCTTCCACAGAAGGAACCTGTCCTCCCAGTTCTCCAGATCCATCTCTCTAAACGTTTTGCCCCCCTGTGTGCCAGGCAGTGTGTGTGGGGGGAGCATCCAGTGGTTGGCACTGCATCCTCTGGAGGAGGCCAGGAAGATAAGTCACATCTACTCACGACATCCATTGCTTGGAGATCTCGGATGTGTCTGTAGATTGGCCGCTCTGGAGGATGTCCCACAGTGAGCAAGACACAGCTCTTGTAGTGGTTGTGGCGAGTATTGCTGGCTGTCGAAGAGTTCACTGAGTAACTTTCCCAGGATGACTTACTTCTGCTTTATGCTGCTGAGGGGTTGTTAATGCACGATGCTTTGTGGGTGGGACGTGGGTTTGTTACTGCACCATTGTTGGACTCTCTTTGGGCACTCTGCCTGTTTATAATTAATGGTGTTTTGAGTTGAGGCTCTAAAGGTGCTTTCAGGCATACTCCAGGTACCAGAAGTAAAAGAGGTGTTGTTATCATCAAGGTATCAGGTGTTGTTATCATCAAGGTGTAATATCGAATGTAATCATAAGTGAATTAATTAAAGCAGTGTGTACACATAAGTCCTTTTATGGTAGATGTTCAAGCAACTCGTATGGCATAATTTAGACCTCAGTTTTGAGACTTTTGTAACCCTCTCCTCTCCTTGAGGAGGTGGTAACTTGTCAATAGGCGCCGGGACTAACATCAGAGCACAAACCTCTCCTGCAAAGGCCTCTTAGTAAAACATGACTATCGAAACAGGTTTGGGAATTGTGTGCATTTGTTGATGCCAGCACATTTTAGGGTTAATTCTTATGGCCTACATATAGTAGTATGTTATCTTGATAGGTATGAAGTGAGTGACTTGGTTTTCCCAATGTGTTTGAAAAAAATACCAAAGAGGAAGGAGATCAACATGACCCAAACTGTTCAGAGCACTAAAGAAAGGACGCACTTTTAAAATCTTGCATTTGTTTGAAATAACCTCATTACTTTCTGAGCTGCAACTCTGTGATTTGGACAAGGCAGAGATAGGAAATGGGTAGATGTTAAAGCTGAAAATGAACCAAAATGTAAAACACTGTCTTTGACATACTCCAGTATTAGCACTCTGTGTGCTGCTTTGGTCTCTCAAGATCCTTTAGTTTACTGCTGGAGAAAGTTGAAAGGTGATTCATTCATAGTTTACAAGTACCAAAAAAGGGAAGAGGTTTCTGGTTGCTAGATGGGATTCAAATTTACCAGAGGAAGGCAGAAAGATCTGTTGGCTGGAAGCCAAAGTTACAGAAATTCAAGCTAGGAATAAGGGCTGCAGTTTAAACAATATGAATAAAAAACAGTGGAAAGTCTTCGGCTGGCATTAGCTAGACTCATCAGTAGTAAATGGCTCTAAATGAGGATTTCTGTGTTTTTCTAAAAGATGCAGGAATTATGAAGAGAAACTTTCTAGCCCAGAGCAGCCCTTCCAGGAGACCAAGGCTGGGCTTCCCTTTTGACTGGAGCAGCCTGTGCATGGCTCTGGATGCTGCGTCCCAGGCTTGGGGCTCTACCTGCTCTTCCCATACTGCTGTCCAAGCACAAGCCATGCTTGTAGTGTAGCAGTAAGGTGCACAGATGTGCTGGGCATCGGGGAGCACAGCTCTGTCTGTGCACAGTGCTTTTCCCAGACACGGTCCAAAGTATTTCTGGATTGGATTCCCCTTTCACTGGTCTGTCTGATTCAACCGAGGAATTACAGTCCATGAAGTGTGGCTTGTGAGTGGAATGCACAGTCTCTTTCGCTCCTGCAGTAAGACAAATGAAGAAGACGTGCAATCTGTGGAGAAACAAGTTCCCTTCCCTTTTTCTGGAGGGGTGCAGTGAAGGCAGAGCCCCTGCCCTGTGTGTGTCAGCTTCATCTCTGCTGTGCTTGACATATGTCTCTTTGGACCTGCCTATTTATGAATGTCATGTAATTTATCACTGGTGGCCAAGAGCACAAGGTGCATAGGTTTGGGTGAGATGTGATTCACGTTAGTGGGGAGAAACTGGGGAATAAAGATCTTGGAAGGTTTCGTCCTTGTCCTTAGCCCTCTCCTTCAACAATCTCTGGGTTTCTGGGCTTTTCTGTGCTCTTGCCAGCATTTTCTGGGGAGCAGGGCAGGATTGACACATCTTTCTTCCAGGCCATGCTGCCTGCTTCATAATTTTGCAACTGCAAGCCTGGAAATAATATGAAGCAGATGCACCAATGCCAAGGTTAGGACCTTCCCAGTATTTAAGGCGTATGTATACTGTTGGCATGGTACAGGGTGACCTCAGCGTACAATAGGAGCCAACCGACACACACATTCAGACAGAATAAATATTTGACAGAGTCTATTTCTCTATTCCACAAAATGACCCCTATAAAAGCAAGGTCCTGTGTACCTTCCCGGCTCTCTGTGCACAGCATTCTGAGAAGAGACAAACTCTCTTCTCTATTTGTTGCCTTCCTGCTCTTCTGGGTGAGCCATTTCCAGGCAAGGATCAGGGATATTGGCCTCACAAAACCCAGGATACCTTGGATTTTCACAGAACTCCTGAAATTTGGGGAAAGCTGAGATGTTGCTTTTGTTCAGAAGCTTCTCCGTGCCAAAGCACAGTGACCTGGGAAGCAGTGCACGATGTCAGCGTGCAGCCTGAAGCAATTGCCTGCAACCGTCCAAACCACTTTTTGTGCTGCCCCTGCCCTGTTAGCATTGTGCAGCCCTCCCCATCCTGCTGCCTGTAGCACAGGTTTCTGGGGAGCCTGCAGCAGGCTTGGGTGTGCAGAAATAACAGTCGGGAAGAATATTTGGGGGGTTCATTCTTTTTTCCTTGGTGTGCTAAACATACTTCCTTTGCAGTCCTGGATCTCAAGCTTGGTCCTGTGCGTTGGTGCCAGCATAGCTGTGCAGCTCGGAGGCAGCAGAAGGTCTGGCCTGCCTGGGACCAGACCTGCTGCATTACCCACCCATGTGCTGCCAGGCACCTCTCCTTTCACGGTTGCAGACATCCCTGGGTTTGCCTTTCAGTCACTGTGAACTTTGCCCATCCAATTCATGTTACCCTGAACTGTTCCATTTCTGTCCACTTCTGTATCTTTTCAATTAAGGACAATTTAGCTTCTGAAGCCCTTGCACATAAAGGAATGTGAGACTCCTCAGAGCTTCCTACCACAGGAGCATATGCCTGATGATTGCTGTGCCTTTTATTTTTCATAAGATCCCTTTCAGCGAAAACAGTCTTTAAATAAAACCAACATACGATAACTTAGCTTGGCATGAAGAATGAGAGGAGACATACAAAGGTCTATAAAATAGTGGTTGCTCCAATGAAGCTCATCCAGTTCCTCCTTTGATTGCTTTTCCATATCACAAGATCAGAATGCACTAGGCAATTAAAAGATGGCTTGTGTTTATTAGACAGAGGAAATACTTTATCTGTAACACATCTTAGACAAGAGGAAACCATTGTTACCAATACGCTTAAGGCAAAACCAGCAACCTGCTATTTTCTTTTTTAAGGTTAACACTGAGAATGAAAAAGGGAGCTAGAAGAGTGCAGAGCTGTCAGTTGAAAGAAAAATTGCAAGCCTGATAATCCTTTCTTGTCGGGTATAATATAAAGCCTGGCAGAGATTGATAAGAAGTGTCTCTCTCTGCCTGATATTCCAGGTGCATGGTAAAATCAGCTTTTCTGAAACACCCTGGAAAGCTCACATGCAGAGCCAGGCTTCAGACTGGAAAGGCTGCTGGCCAACCTGACATTGCTGGTCCTAAGGCCATTTTAAATAGCTTTATTCTTTCACTTTTCTAACCGCAACCTGAAGAATAGCTGTCCCTCCCCTTCTCTTCCTTTATACATGCAGATTTTCATTGCAGCCCCTTGCAGGGGCTATTGCTTTGCTGCTGATGCTGCTGTGCTGAATGGCCATCCATCTTAGCAGCAGGCATGAGGCATCAGTGGCACGCACTGCTGGGGAAAGGGGGCTCACTGCCCACGACCTGCCACTGCTCCTTCTGCAGTGAAACACTGCAGCTGGGGTTGGTGGGGCTGTGGGGTTGGCAGCACGCCTGTCAGCAGCGGCAGAGGTCATGGAGGCGTTAGTAGTCATCTGCAGCAATGTCAGGATAAAGAGAAAAATAGTCTCTGAAGAGCTTGAGCTCCTGCATCCCTATCTCTGGCCTGGTAGGAGGGTCTGGAGAGCAGAGCAAAGCCCCGTGCTAGTGGGAGACATGTGGGTCCTGCCTGCGCAAGCAGGGACAGCCGTGGAGCAGTCGTGTCTGGCCATGTGGAGCAAAGAGGGAGCCAGACCCGCGGGGTCCATCCCTTCCCCATGTGGCTGTTTCTGACTCCACGCTCCTTCCCTGCCTGTGTGCAGGTAAACCCTGGGGAGCTGAGCTGGCCATCATCCCTCCTCTGGCCAGCGAGTGGGAGTGGGGGCCACAAGCACTTTTCCCAGGGGAGGGGGCTCGGTGGGCTCCCCTCACCGGTGCACAGCCTCTGACAGAGGCAATTTTCACATTGTTTGGTTTCTCTTTTTGTAGCTGTCCCTCCCAAACTGAAGAAACTGAAAAGCCCAAATGTTCATGTTGGTGAAAAGATCTCACTGAAATGCGAAGCGACTGCTGGCAACCCTCAGCCATCCTACAAATGGTTTAAAGATGGCAAAGAGCTGAAGAAGAGCAAAGACATCCGGATCAAGTATGGGAATGGGAAGTAAGTATCCTATGGGGCTGCTGTGCCTCTGCTCACTAATGTGGAGCGTTTGGGTCGGGAGTACTGCCTGGCTGGAAGGAGTGCTGTGCTCTCTGGGTCACTGCTGAGTGACACCATGATGCTTCCTCGGAGTCGTGGGACCGTGCACAGCCCATTTACCGTGCTGGGGAGAGTGGGTGAGAGTCCCAGTTTCCTCCAGGGTGGAGAGAGAGGAGCAAGGTGTGCACAGGGTAGATGCTGGGTTGTAGACGGGGCTCTCCTGGGGCAACTGTGTCATTATATATCTGAGA